GCTCTGGTATCGGTACCATTTCCTCAACTGCAAATATCTCCTTTGCAGCATATTGCTCTCCGTAAACCATTTTCACTCTTTCCTATGTTGGGAACTTCATCATCTGGTGAAGAGTCGAAGGCACTGCCCTCCTATTGTGTATCCACGGTCTCCTGAGGAGTGCATTATACCTCATGTCGCCTTCGATGACATGGAATTTCGTATCCTGTATGGTTCCGGCTACGTTTACTAGTAGGATTATCTCCCATTAAGCCATTTAGGACCCGGGACGCAAGTAGAATTTGATCTTGTAGGCCGAGTTGTTCTATGACCCTCGATCTGATTATGTTTGCCGAGCTACCTGGATCCACTAGAACATATTTAACTTGAATTTTATTTAAAAGGATAGAAAGTACCAGGGCGTCATTGTGCAGTCGAGATATGCCTTCCGCTTCCTCGTCATAGAATGATAAGGCGTCCTCGGGCACATAGCCCCGAGTCCGTTTTTCTCTTGTAATCGACACCTTGGTGCGTTTGAACACAGGTCTTTGTGGGATATCGACACCTCCAACGATCATGTGGATTACATGTTGTGGATATTCCTGCTTATTTTTCCTTGCATCTCTCTCCCTGAAGTGGTTTTTAGCTCGATCACTGAGGAATTCTCGAAGGTGACCCTCGTTGAACAACCGAGCCACCTCCTCCCTTTGCTGCCTGCAATCTTCGACTATGGTCGTGTGTGCCATGATACTTACACATCAAGCTTGGATTCCTCTTAGAAGGATCGGTTTGTATAGGCCTGGGCCACCTGGTGTCACACCTCTTTTTTCCCACACAACCCTATTACGAAGTTGAGTTAGAAGAGTTTTACAATTGAAGTGGCGTTTTGAAAAGGGATTATTTATTATTTAGAGTCGCCACTTGGAATTGGGTTTTGGTGTTCCAAGTCACCTTTTATTTGAATCCCTTATCAAAAGGAAGGCCTGACTCCTAATTTATGGTCTACGAAAACAGAAGACTGAGTAAGGAATTTTGTTGACTGAGGGGAAGGTGTATGGCACCCATCGAGTCCCGTGGTTCTAGCACGGTCGCTTTATTGACTAATGTAAGGCTTAAATCAATTTTTAGCTTGTATTTTATTGATTATGACTTATTTATTACCGCTTAATTAATTATTATATTTTATTAATTGTGTTCACCAAGATGCGGAATGTACACAAGGTACTTCTTTGAAATTAAATGTTAAACCAAGGTACGGAATGTACACATGGTTATAACATGATTATTTTAAATTTAAAGGCATCGAGACGCGGAATGCGCACATGATCCTTATATTATTTAAGCATACCAATCCAAGGTTCGGGTATGAACACATGGGCTAATATTTATAGTGTGTCTAAAACTTTTCTAGCGTATTTAGAGTATTCCATTTATTTGTATATTTTATTACTATTATTATTTCTTTTACCTATTAGAACGAGTCTTGAATTAGTTCATGTCTCATTTCTCTCCCTCACAATTATTCCTTTATTCTAATTCCCTTTTTTTTATAGCGAGCTTTGATTAAATTTGAAACTCGCATTTATCTATTAATAGGCCTTAAAATGTGTTTAGACCAAATTAGTTATATTATCTCTTGAATCTATTTCCGGTAGGAATGTTAAAGAAATATACGCCACAGTTTAATATGAAACATCCGATTAATTTACAAAGGAAAATACTTATGATAATAAAACAAACAAAAACAAATTATTCAAACGAAGTTCATAAAATTAAAATAAACGCATAAAAATGTCAATTTATTCTTCAACTATCAAATGTGACTTATTCTTCAAGAATTTAATTGAATCCAACTACATGAAAAGTTTAAACATTGAAATTATATTAAATAAAGGCAACAACTAATGAAAAGGAAATTAGTCTAACTAACATGCTCTTAACTCAAAACAAAACGAAACAACATATAGAAATAAATAAAGAAAACAAAACGTGAGCAGAGTAAAACAATGAAGAAGAAGAACGGGACCTTTTATAACTTTCAAAATATCAAAGATCTTCCAAGTAGTTTACAAGAAAAAACACAACGATGAAGTTGAAACGAACATACCTGTCACCCCGGACACTGTTTAACCAAAAAACTAGAATTTCGACCAAAGTTTGATATTAGAAGAACTCGGGTTACTGATAATCAAATAAAAATAAGAATAACTGATACAAATAATTGCAAGATAGAAAGCAAAGTAATTCAGTATATTTCAATAGTGTTTTTCTTGTCCTTGCAAATGTTTATTCCTCTCCTTTTATAGCTATTTCTAAGTAATACGTTTCTTACCTCCCATAATGGAGTTATTATGCGCAATTAATGATATTTAATGCAACGTTATAATTGGCAATCATAACTGTTCAGTACAGATTCTATAACGTTTCCCGTAGTTAATGCTCATTAACTACCAATAATACGTATTTATCTTTTTTTGCTATCTAGGTTCATTCCTCCGATGCTTTTCCGAATTATCAAGAGGTTCGAGCACCTATCCTTTCTGCTTTTCTTGGACTTCTGCTCGTGTGTGTTAAAGCTCGTACCTCTTTAACTATTCTCTGCCAGCTGTCATTCTTTTATTGATCCACGTGTCATGACATATCATCACATAGTAAATTCAATATACTAACTTGAATTTTCCTAATACAGATAGTCCCCGCACTTGCCATTTATTCAACAATAGAATATTTGGGAAGTGGATCTTCATTAAAGCGGGAATTTTTGTCGCCATTATACTTTTTCCATAACTGACGTTTCATATGTCACTTCCATTTAATGCTTGTGACACGTGGCATCTTCTAATCGGATCTGCAATTCTTCAGCGTCTTTTAGGGCTTTATTGCAGCTTCACCAATTACGAAGTGACAGTTTCCATCATGGCGTTTCCATCATTACGGCTTTTTCTTGACGGTTGCTTCTGAATATAAATATAGCTTTCGTTCTTGTCTTTCTCATAAAAAGTTACATATCTTAGAATATTCATTCTTGTTTTCTTCCTCGTACAGCCATGTCTTCTTCAAACCCTAATCCTCGAAGAGTCCCCATTGTTGATGAACTTTCCCTTGCTCCTGTTAGAAGCAGAAGAGGGGGAAGGTTGCGTAGTTTAGGGTCTTCATCTACACGAGGTGTTTCTTTACCTCCATCGAGTTCCACCCCTCCTTCTAGAACTAGGGGTTCTCTTTCACATAGATCTTCTTCTAGAAATAAAGATTCTAGTGAACCAGTTCGTGAACCTTTAGTTGATGGAATTATCCCTTTTGAACTATCTTTTTACTCTGATAGAGAGTCAATTAGAAATCAAGTTTCTTCTATGTCTTCTTTGGATCGTGTTGACGTTTATCCTTCTCAGATTATTGAAGGTTTAATTTCTGTTGTCCGTAAGGATTGCCATTGGAGCCACGACTTCCCTATTATAATTCCCAATGCAAACCAAAGAATTACATCTTACATGACCGGATTTTCTTTTGTGTATACATACCCCTTTACACTGAATTTCAAACCCCCCATTGATCCTGTTATTACTGAGTTCTGCCGTTTTTTCAACGTTTGTCTGGGACAAATTGGGCCCATTGTGTGGAGGGCTATTGCTTGTCTAAGGCATTTAGCAAGGTTGGCTAACTTTCCTTTCACTTTCTTTCATCTGATCCACCTCTACTCCCCTAAACTTTTCCGCCATGGGATCTTTACTTTAGTGGCGAGGAGTAAGAGAGTACTAGTTAGTCCTGAAGATGATAAAGATCGTGGCTGGTATGCTAGATTTGTTACTGCTCCTACTGTGGGTTTAGTAGGTGAACAAAATGTACCATTCCCCGTAAAGTGGAATTTTGCACGTGAGTTTTAATCTTGTAACTTTCTTCCTTTTTTCCTTCTGAAGGGATTTATTTTTCCTGCTGCTGTTTAATCTTTCTCCTTTTTCAGCAACCATGGGAACTATTGACGAGATTCCCAATTTCCATGGCTGAGTAGAAAAGTTATTGACTGTTGCGCCTATGGAAGGCAGATCTTGGAAGAACCTTTCACACAGGTTTGGTTGGAAGGTCAAAACTCATGGTAAATACTTTACTCACTTTTTTTTTTAATCTTTCCTTTAGAATTTATTTGACCCTTCTTTTTATCAGGGTTCCCCATACGAGGGGTAAGTGCTGATGAAATCGCGTCTTCCAGAGTTTCTTTGGAAAGAGCTCAAGAGATAACCTTGAGTTCTTCGTCGAAAAGGAAAGCTGATGCAACCCAAGATTCTGAAGAGGAAAAGGAACAGGATGAAAGTTCCTTGGTTAAAAGGCCACGGGCCAGAAGACGCGTCTTGTCAGACGATAAAGTGACTCCTCCTCGTTCTATTCTCGTGACCGAGCCTGTTAGTGCTACATTGGTGAGTTCTGATGATGATACTCCTACGGCAGCTCGCGACTCCGATGAACAGCTTTTTCTCACGGGTTTGATAGTGAAAATTTGGATCTTGTTTCTAAAGTGCCTCTTGCCTCTTTTACCTTGTCTGTCCCTGTGGTGTGTTCTTTGCTAGTTGTTATCGCTACTGTTTCTGCTCCACCCCAAGCTGTTATGACTTCTTCTTCAGTCCCCATTATCACCATTCCTCGTACTGAGGTTGGTTCTTCAAGTGGAAGTGGAGGGATGAAGCAAATTACCATTGATGTCCCTGCCGATGGTAATCTCTTGAAAAAATCAGGTCGGGCTGACGTATGGTTAAAACCCCTGATTGGTCCGGTAGAAAAGTCCAAGCTAGAAAGTCATTGTTCTTTGACTTGGATGAATGATATAGTGCAATCTTCACTAAAGGTATTTGCTGCTTTTTTTTATTCTTTATTTAATTTTCCTTTCACTAAGGTTCTTACCCCTTTCTTCTTTTTTAGATCAATCTCATTGGTATAGAGATGAAGAGGGTTTCTCAAACGGAGCAGTAATGCATGACTATCAAGTTGAAGCAGACAATTAGAAAGAACAGTATGAAAGTCTTCAGCTGGAGATGGAAGTGCTAGAAGAGAGCAAGCGTACCTTAGAGCAACAATTGAAGGTCTTGATTTCAGAGTTAGCAGTTGAAAAAGCTTCTTCCAATCAGGCTGACAAGGATAAAAGTGTGACGACCCAAAGGGTCATCACCTGTATTCCTACTCACTCTGTATTTCTGAGGCCGTGAAAACCTCACTTGGGGGTTGCCTCGAATTTGTGTGCGCAGTCCGGGCGCGTAGCCGGAACGTTTAAATATGAATTTGCGAGAAAGATAATAAAAATTTTGATGTTTTAATTGACTAAGTTTGACTTCGGTCAACATTTTGGGGCAAACGGACCCGGACTCGTGATTCGACAGTCCCGAAGGGTCCGTAGGAAAATATGAGACTTGGGGGTGTGCCCGGAATCAAATTCCGAGGTCCCGAGTCCGAGGAACGAATTGTTATGTGAAAATTGTTTTCTGAAAATAACTAAAGAATTGGAAAGTGTTAATTGTTTAGAAGACTGTGCTGTTGGGCTCGAATTTTTGCTCCGACGCCCGACAGAAGTCTTAAATATGAGTTAAGCAATTGCTGTGAAGTTTGGTTAGATTTGGACGTCATTTGACGTGTTTTGAGCTAGAAACAGTAAAATTTGATGTTTCATGGAAATTGGAAGGAAATCATGGGTCTTGAGGCCTAATTCGATGTTGTTTTGGCAATTTGATCGCACGGATGAGTCCGTAGGATGTTTTTGGAGTTGTATGTATGTTTGGTTTGGAGCCCCGAGGGCTCGGGGGAGTTTTGAGTGGGTACTGGGAGGGTCTTAGACTTAGTATCAGAAATTGCAGGTCCGGGTATTGCAGGCCCCCAGCGCGGCCGCGGTCATTTCCGCGCGGTCCGCGCTGGAAGCCGCGCGGCCGCGGTTCATTTTTGCGCGGTTCGCGTGGCTAGGTTCAGAGGGCCAGTAAATTCCAGTTCAACCAGCGCGGCCGCGTGCCATATCAGCGCGGTCCGCACTGGAAGATTCAGAGAGGGGTTTTGGGTCATTCAACCAGCGCGGCCGCGCACCAAATCAGTGCGGTCCGCGCTGGGTAGGTTCAGAGAGTCGTTTTCCCTCCCTTCCTCAGCGCGGCCGCGGGGAATTTTTGTGCGGTCCGCGCTGGGTCTTCAGTAAAGTATATAAAGTCTGGATTTTCAATCATTTTTCACTTTTTCAAAACCAAAAACATAAGTGGCGATTTTCCAAACGATTCTTCTTCTTCAAAACGATTGGTAAGTGATTTCTAACTTATTTTCTTTACTCCTTAACATCTTTAAACATAATTTCAACTACAACGCAAAGATTTTAATGGGGGAATTTGGAAATTTAGGGTAGAACTAGGGTTCCTAAATTTGGGGGTTTTGGACCTCAATTCGAGGTCCGATTCCAAAATAACTTACACATTTGAGTTTATGGGGGAATGGGTAATCGGGTTTTGGTTCGAACCTCGGGTTTTGACCACGTGGGCCCGGGGGCATTTTGGAAATTTTGAGTAAAACTTTGGGAAATTCACTTTTCATGCTTTCAAATATATTCGATTAGCATTTGTTGATACACTCAAGTAATTTGTGACTAGATTCGAGCGGTTTGGTGGTGAATTCGAAGGGTTAAGCGATACTAGAGGCTTGAGTTGAGTTTGGAGCATTTGAGGTAAGTGTTTGATCTAACTTTGGCTTGAGGGAATAGGATTAGAGTATTATTTGCTAATTGCTAAATGTTAAGTACGGTGTATAGGCGTGGTGACGAGTATCTATACACCGGTGTCTAGTATGACCGTGGGTCTTTATTGGTGCTTAATTGGGATTCTGTAGTGACTCTTCCTTGTTAATTGATGGTTTCTACATGATATGAAGAGAATGAGAAGGAAACATGATGTGTAAACTCGTTGGAGCGTTGGCTCGATTTTTGACTTGATTAAACAGTAAGAAAAGAATGTAAGAGAAAGAAATGTGATTATTCCCTTGCCGGGACGTGTAAGTTATGGTTATTGTTCCCTTGCCGGGAATTAACTGCTTAGTCATGTTCTCCCTTGCCGGGAAACTATTATATATTATGAAATGGGATCGTGTGGCACGCCGACCACTTATACATTATGAAATGGGATCGTGTGGCACGCCGACCACTTATATATTATGAAATGGGATCGTGTGGCACGCCGACCACTTATATATTATGAAATGGGATCGTGTGGCACGCCAACCACTTATATATTATGAAATGGGATCGTGTGGCACGCCGACCACTTATGTAGATTATGAGATCTGATGTAGTTTCGTGTTTACTTCTGATAAGCTGTTTTCATCTGTATTTCCCCTAAGCATGTCCCCTCCCACCTTAATTGATATTTTCTGCTATTATTTTGTTGCGCTTGTACATACATATATATCTGCACAGGTTGTTTTTGGTAGGTCCTGTCTAGCCTCGTCACTACTTCGCCGGGGTTAGGCCAGGCACTTACCAGCACATGGGGTCGGTTGTGCTGATGCTACACTCTGTGCATCTTTTTGCACAGATCCAGGAGCAGCTTTTGGGCCTCAGCAGTAGGATTCGGTCGGGAGCTGACTTCAGTCCAGGGACTTTCGAGGTAGCCTAGCTGACGTCCGCAGGCCGGAGTCCCTTTCCATGTTATTAGTTTGTTTTCCTTGTACCGAGATAAACATTGATGTACTTCTATCCAGACTTGTTTTTAGCACTCTTTAGTAGTTCGTGAGTTAGTGACACCGGATCCGGGTAGAGTTGTATTTAAACTTCCGCATATGGTTTTCAGATATCTATGTTTTTAAGACTTCCGCTTTAAGTCATTATGTTTGATTTTATTAAATGGTTGGTAACTGTTGCGAAAAGGTAGATTAAATTGGCTTGCCTAGCTCTCATTAGTAGGCGCCATCACGACTCCCGAGGGTGGGAAATTCGGGTCGTGACAAGTTGGTATCAGAGCACTAGGTTACATAGGTCTCACAACTCACGGACAACTCGGTAGAGTCTGAGGGATCGGTACGGAGACGTCTGTATTTATCCCCTAGAGGCTACAGAGTTAGAAAAACTTCACTTCTGTTCTTTCTTGTCGTGCGGATCTGTCTCTCAAATACTGATTGTCTTTCTACTCTGTTCTTTCGTAGATGGCGAGAACAAGTGCTTCCTCTTCTACCGCGCAGTAGCCCGAGCCCCCAGCAGCAGCTCCTACGAGGGGCAGAGGGCGAGGCCGAGGCCGTGCCAGGGGCCGAGGCCGGGGCATAGCTCAGCCCCGAGCAGCAGCCCCAGAGGTGGAACCCCATGATGGTTATGTTGAAGGGGTCCCAGCCCCAGCAGCTCCGGTGGGCCCAGCTCAGGTCCCAGAGGGGTTTATAGCACCCCAGTTCTTCAGGACGCTTTGGTCATGTTGGTAGGCATTATGGAGAGCGTCTCTCGAGCGGGATTGCTTCCAGTAGCACCAGCCACTTCTCAGGCTGGAGGAGGGGTTCAGACTCCTGCTACACGTACTCCGGAGCAGGTAGCTCCCCAGGCTCAGGTTCTAGCAGTTCAGCCAGCGGTGGCAGTTCAGCCGGGTATTGTGACTCAGACCGGCGATGGAGCGGCTATGTCCGCAGATGCTTTGTGGAGGCTGGATAGATTCACCAAGCTCTTCACCACCACATTCAGCGGTGCTTCTTAAGAAGACCCCCAGGATTTCTTATAAGTTGCCATGAGGTTCTTCGGACTATGGGTATTATGGAGGCCAATGGGGTCGACTTCACCACCTTTCGACTAGCAGGATCCGCCAAGACTTGGTGGAGAGACTATTGTTTATCCAGACCAGCAGGGTCGCCATCATTGACTTGGGACCAGTTTGCAGAGTTGTTTTTGGAGAAGTTTCTCCCAGTTACTCAGCGAGAGGCTCTTCGCAGGCAGTTCGAGCGCCTCCAGCAGGGCTCTATGACAGTCACGCAGTATGAGACTCGGTTCATTGATCTAGCACGCCATGCTATTGTTATACTCCCTACCGAGAGAGAGAGAGGGTGCGGAGGTTTATTGATGGGTTGATTCAGCCGATCCGTCTCCAGATGGCTATGGGAGCCGGGAGTGAGATTTCTTTTCAGGAGACGGCCAATGTGGCCCGCAGAGTTGAGGTGGCACTTGCACGGGGAGGTGGTCATGGGTCAGATAAGAGGCCCCGTCATGCAGGTAGATTCAGTGGTACCTCGTCTAGAGGTGGGGATTCTTATGGTAGAGGCCATCCTCCAAGGCCCTTTCAGTCAGCCCTACAGGTCTCACATGGTACTTCAGGTGGTCGTGGCTCTCAGTCGCAGTCTTCTGATCAGCAGCTTTTCAGTTCACCATCAGTACCCATCAGCGCACCACCACTCCGCTATTCTCAGCAGTCGAGGGCTTGTTACACGTGTGGCGACACGAGGCACATTGCTAGGTTTTGCCCTCGAGTTTCGGATAGCTCTCAGCAGCAGGGTCCTCGCCCTATGGTTCAGGCATCAGGTGATCCGCAGGCTGCCCAGCCAGCTAGAGGCGGGGGTAGAGGCCATAGAGGTGGAGGTAGAGATCATAGAGGTAGAGCTCGGACCGCCAGAGGTAGAGGCCAGCCAGCAGCCGATCGTCCCAGAGATATGGTTCAGGGAGGTGGGGCCCAGCCCCGGTGTTATGCTCTTCCAGCCAGGCCAGAGGCTGAGTCTTCAGATGCAGTCATTACAGGTACTATTCTGGTCTGTGATAGGGATGCTTCAGTGCTATTTGACCCTGGGTCTACGTATTCATATGTGTCATCCTATTTTGCACCCTACTTGGTTATGCCTAGTGATGCCTTGGGTGTTCCTGTATATGTATCTACACTAGTGGGTGATTCTATAGTGGTCGACCGAGTTCATCGTTCCTGTGTGGTAGTGTTTAAGGGTCTTGAGACCCGTGTTGATCTATTACTCTTAGACATGGTGGATTTCGATGTTATATTAGGGATGGATTGGTTGTCCCCGTATCATGCTATCTTGGATTGTCACGCCAAGACCGTGACCTTGGCTTTGCCAGATTTGCCCCGATTGGAGTGGAGATGGACCCCAGGTTATGCCAATCGCAGTGTTATCTCATATGTGAAGGCTCGACGCATGGTCGAGAAGGGGTG